GCGGTTGTTCGTTTTGAATTCGAGTATCTTCGCCGAAAGTCACTGTTTTGAGTTTTAATATAGAAAAATTGTTAATCGGCTAACGCGTTGCTATGCACCTTACTTGTTGCTAAGAATTCAACTGCGAAATGAAAATACAACGAACAATAAAACTTTCTCCCGGATGGTTTGAATTGCGTGGAAACGTTTAAAGCAAACGCATTAGCTGATTGGGTATATTCTTTTGAATTTATAACTGTCCAAATGCTTCCAGCGTAAATTTGAATGATATCAAATGATATTTCGTTTCTGAGTTAAACATCCCAAACCAAACTTGTTCTGTAGATTGATAATCGACTGTTCAATGTTTTGTAGCTTTTTTTGTGCAGTACCCCCCCTCCCCCCCCCCCCGGGTACCCACCCCGGGTATTTGCGTTAGACCAAATCCGGGACCAAATGTCTGTCAAAGTAAGGACAACTCTTGGCCAACAATAATAATATTCAGTAATACATTTTCTTTTTTTACTATTTTCAATCCAAGGAAGGACTTTTAGTTTTACTTTATATTTGATAATTAAAGTATTTATTATTCTTTGCAATAATTGCGGTAAATTTATCAAGTCAAATTTATATAAGTCTTAATTATTATGCTATCAACTCGACTGTGAATTTATTATATTTTTTTGGTCACGGCAAGAATAAATGAAACTACATGTTCTACTATATGCATCATTAAACCAAGAGACCACACTAAAAAGAACCCCGAGTGCATGCTCACAAGCGTCTTGTTATTGAAAAAATTATATCAATCGCCAACTGAAACGCTGCTGATCACAGCAGGAGAGAATCACAGCTAATAATTTTAACTTTTGTATGTTTGGATTCCTGCTGTGTTTTGCAGCTCGAGTTCTCTTAAATGCTGCCGAGGATATCCTGGTAAAGGATTTAACACAGCAAAAAGATAACGTGCAAAATAGAGAACTGCAAGCGCGCAATTATAACGGCTGCACCAGGTGCTAATTATCATAAAGCAATAGCGCCAAAAGTAAGGTATTGAAAGATGATCGACTTAGCACGCAATGATTTCTTTTTTCTAATACTAATGATATTTTCACCAGTGAAACTTTCGCCGAATAACAAATTGGCGGTACATCTATATATATCGTATATTGGAGGCAAATTAAAAGTCATTTTAATATAATTATATACGATAAACAGAATATTACATGGTCGCTTGGAGATGTACGGTTGAACTTCCAGTGTTGAAAATCTTTGATCTTTTCGACACTGAAAGGTAAGATCAGTATTCCATTTCCTCTATTTAATAAGGCGTTATAGATTAAAGTTGATCTAAAGTATTATGAAGTGAGGTGTTATATATACGCGCGAGCACTGTGAAAAATGCGCCAAAATTCTCTTTTTTAATTTAACAGTTCAGTGAACTTCCTCATCAAATTATTCACAGACAACTATTCTGCATGTTCTAGAGCTCTGGAGCCAAAAAACTCTCTTTTATTAAAAAGATGTACCAAGTTTAGCGATGGAAAACTCGAGAACGAGATCCACACAAAACTTATTGTTGCAAGACGACGAACTAGAGCATCAACATGCTGGTCAGGAGTCAGTTCAAAGCAGTCGATTGGGCGAATCGCCAAAAGTTATAGCAATATTTTGTAGCTTTGGATTCATGGCATGTTTTACGGCTGGAATTATTTTGACTTCTGCTGAAGATATCCTGGCAAATAATTCCACAGAGCAAACAGGTAAGACTGGCAAAAGCAGCAGAAACAAGGCGCGCCGCACGAACCCTCGGCCCGCGCGATAAAAGTCAGGCTAAAAATCACAATCCACTTTCAACAAATTCGAGGGTTAAAAGATGTTCTTATGCATGTTATATATGATAAATAGAAAAACATTTAAAGCAAAAACTAAAGATCGAGAAGACAATTTTTGCTTTTGAAGCAAAATTAAAAAAAAGTTAATTATATTTCGCGATATGCATGGCATATATTCAAATTTACGCTGGAATCATTTGGACAGTTATAAATTCAAAAGAATATATATACCCAATCCGCTAATGCGTTTGCTATAAACGTTTCCACCCAATTCAAACCATCCGGGAGTATAAGTTTTATTGTTCGTTGTATTTTCATTTCGCAGTTGAATTCTTAGCAACAAGTAAGGTGCATAGCAACGCGTTAGCCGATTAACAATTTTTCTATATTAAAACTCAAAACAGTGACTTTCGGCGAAGATACTTGAATTCAAAACGAACAACCGCTTATTATTTGACAGCAGATTCTCTTGCGCAAAGACCTTACCAAACGCAAAAGAAAGCATGCAAATTTGAAAACTTGAAAATTTGCGGGTTTTTTTCCAAATTGAGACTAACCTGTATTCCCAGAATGCATAAGGTTTAAGCCTTTGGAATTAATGCAGATTATAGCCACAACTTTTATCGTGCTCTCGTTTGAGTTTAAGGTGTTTGCGCAAGAGAATCTGCTGTCAAATAATTGAAATAGCAGTTGTTCGCTTTCAATTCAAATCAAGCCGCCAATGGCAACACAACTCGAAGATTGATTGTGCAGACGAATACAGAAAGATATAATGATGAATCAAATTATAATAGTCTCCTTCACGGATACCTGCGCCATCTTGAAAGGTAGCCGTGCCTTTGCACCGAAGCGAGACGACCGTTGAGCGTGCAATGATAGATACCTGTGAATAATTGTCTATAGGTGTGAAAGAAGGTTTCTATCATTGCACGCTCAACGGTTGTCTCGCTTCGATGACAAGGCACGGCTACCTTTCAAGATGGCGCAGNAAAGACCTTACCAAACGCAAAAGAAAGCATGCAAATTTGAAAACTTGAAAATTTGCGGGTTTTTTTCCAAATTGAGACTAACCTGTATTCCCAGAATGCATAAGGTTTAAGCCTTTGGAATTAATGCAGATTATAGCCACAACTTTTATCGTGCTCTCGTTTGAGTTTAAGGTGTTTGCGCAAGAGAATCTGCTGTCAAATAATTGAAATAGCAGTTGTTCGCTTTCAATTCAAATCAAGCCGCCAATGGCAACACAACTCGAAGATTGATTGTGCAGACGAATACAGAAAGATATAATGATGAATCAAATTATAATTACTTAACGAATAGAATTTTAAATAAACGATTTATGAATATAGTTTTATAATTTAACTTCGGTTCTGGATAAACACAAGCGAGCGCCGGTGAGATGAATACCACTCGAGCTACAACTATGAGTAAATGCTGCCACGACCAGAAGCGCTACATCTGGATCCGAAAAACAGATAAAATCACCGCAAGTGTCAAAAAACAATAACAACTAAATCCCTGAGAAAACGTGGAGTTCAATTATTAAGCAAACAATATACATTTCAATGTTGGTGGGCGAAAAAAAATTGAGTTTGCCTAATAAAAATTATTCGCAAGGAAAACCAGAATCACCAGAGCAAAGGTGAAGCAAATCGACGAATACTAGTGATCACATGATCGCGTGGGCTTCCAACATAAAGAGCTTAAAGTTACATTATGGCTTCATTTCTCCACATTCATTACTGATGAAATTACCCAAAAACTAGTTTGACTTTTGTTTTAGCCACAAATATGTAAAATGTGCGATCTTTGGGTAAATGCGCTACATCTGGCAGCGAAAGACGCAAAAAAGCACCGCAAGTGTCAAAAACCAATAATGACAATCGATGTCGCTAGTCCAATTAAATCAAACAATATAAACTTCAACAAACAGCCAAATAAATATTTACTTAAATTGGATCATCAAAGAATTTGTGGTTTAACAGTATCAACGATTACAATTGATACGGTCAATAGACAAAAGATGTTTCATTGAAAGTTTAGTGTGGTTTTACGTGGTGTGTCAAAAAACAATTTTGTTTAAAAAGCAATTATCACATGTTAGCACCATGAAACAGTCAAATAGTATCCGCTTTAACAATTAAGGCTAAAGGGAAAATTTCTTTTAAAAAATATCTTAATCTGTYGGAKAGAGAAATTTGTGTTTTTGGTACATTTATGTTCAAACCTAGATAACAAAGAAACTGTCCAAGTAAGTCCGCAATGAAATTTTGGATTTGTATCTAGAAGCAGCAGATGTGCTGTTACAGATGCCTGTAACACATGCCTTTATTATGCAAAAAACACTTTCAAATTTAATTCAGATAGTCTTTGAATGTTGATGTATAAGGAGTGCAAGAATATTAACTTGATTTTAGAGGATGTCAAGCAACTGTTATCCCTTCTTTGACGCACAGAACACACAAGATTTGGTTGAGGAAAACTAGTTTCGTCTTTACTAGAGCTTTTCAATTCCTCGATCTACAACTGTTGTGAATTGAAAAGGTTTAGTAAAGTCGAAACTAGTTTTCCTCAACCAAGTCTTTTGTGTTCTGTGCGTAAAAGGAGGGATATAAGTATTTTAACATCCTCTAAAATGAAGTATCAAGATGAACTTGGGTTCTCGATAAGCGCGGGCCAGCACCTTCGTACAATCATTTTCAAAACGACGAATTTGGAGGATCGTCTTCTTTGCTTGCTTCAACCTTTGTGACTGAACGGTAAGACGAATCAAATTATGATTTACTTTACAAATACAATTTTAATGTGAATGATTTATGAATACAGTTTTTTTTTTCACTAAAACTAATTATTTTTAACTTTGATTCTTGACAACCAGGAGCGAGCACCTGCACTTCAAAGACAAGTCTAAACCACAATTATACGCGTGGCCGAATGGAAGTGCCTTCGATTTCTAAGACCGGTCTACACGAGCAATTTTTATGTGACAACTATATGTGACATTTTTTTTGTCCGTGTTGACAGGCAGNAAAACTTTAAAAAATACGATATATTTTTTAATAATTTTAATATATTTTTTTAAATATATATTTTAAATAAATTTTTTATTTTTATATTTTTTTAATCTTAAAGATATATCGTATTTTTTAAAGTTTTATTAAAACAAATTTAGTTGGTGTTAGCTCTTGCAACAACAATAATACCATTCTCTCTGTCGAATCCAGTCGTTCTGCTTACTATCGGTGTCGCCATCTTGGTTGGTGTGCAAAATGTTGAGACTTGGATTCAGTGTGACGTCGAAATAATTGCCACATTTATGTGACGCTCGTCCACACGGGAAATTATCAATATGTGACAATTACATAAAAACTAGCTTTCCAGCAACTACAGTTATAAAATTTGTCCAATTTTGCTCATCCACACGGGCAATTAAAAATTGTCACATAAAAATTGCTCGTCTAGACGGGGCTTAATTCACAGTTCTGAAGTTCAAGACTCAGAGGAGCTGACATTTCTTTAGATTTCTTTCTTTGCCAAAAATAAATAAATTCAATCAAATATAGAACAGGGAACCTGGTAACGGTAACTTAAAGAAAAAATTAATAGAGAACAATGAGAATAAATGAATAGTTTTGAACACAAGTAACGCAGGCTCAAGTTTACAGGAAAGTGAGTGAGTGAGTGAGTGATTGAGTGAGTGACAGATTTGTCACCCTCCAATAACTCTTCGATTGCTTCGCAATCTTCGAGTTAAAAAGGAGTATTAAGTCATAATTAATTGAGGAGAATTGTTTGAAAACCTTTTGTTGTACTTCTTTTGTATGTATTTTGAGTTTGAATCAGTCAAGACCGTGCACAACTTTTTTCGTACGGACAATGGAAATAGCAAAATAAGTGAACACAAACACCCAGTATGAGATTATGAAATGAAATATTTCAATATTGGTTAAAACATTTCGTGCATTTTTAAGAAATAGTTAAAAAGAATAATTGTCGCTCTGTTCATTCAGATGTGACCAGTATGGCTAAAACAACAGATAAGGAAAAGATTGTGCAGGGTCACGCTTGGAAAAAATTGCACAAAAATGTTATAACAATAGGCTTCCTAAGCATTTCCCTCGGCAAACTATGCTTGAAGTGACTATGACGCCTGACATAATAATTGCCGATTCTCTATGAACTCAGGGAATAACCATATTCCCAGATGGCGTTCCATGAAAACATTTCAAAGTTCGTATATCTGAGGACACTGTCAATGGATGACATGCGCAGTAACAGTCTCGCCTCTAACGGACTTTGAAAGTATTACCTTCGGGGAAAATCATTTTGTGGTGCTTTTGACACACTTTGGAATATTATTCTAGATCTGTTTACGTTTTACGAGCTGATTTATGTCGCGCCAATTTGGAGTCATAAACTTGAAAACATTAGCCTAATGTTTTCAAGTTTACTCGCGCATGCGTGCCATTGACAGTGTCCCTTTAACGTCATTTTCATTAGCATATTGTAAGATTGAATCTTCAAACTTCAATTGAAGATTTAATCTTATAATATGCTAATGAAAATGACGTCTCAAAGACGCAACGCTGAAATGCAGGAATATTTCACCATTCAATTATTTATTATATCATAGGTATGGTCTGGGTCGTTTATTCCATTCCTTTCATAGTATTCACTGCTTTCATCGCCTGGTCGTTCGACCGAGTGTCAACTGACATCTTCATTGTAGCTTTCTTCCCTTTAATGGTGTTTGGTATAGTTTTACTGGTACTTCCAAAGGTCACGTGGTTAAAGCTTGTTGGAGTCTTTTTGATAGGCACGGTTGACTGTACCTCTGAGATTGCAGCTCTAGCATTAACTGCCTACTTCGATAAGATTGCAATCATGGCCTTTGGTATTGGCAGTGGTTTTTCGTATGTCTTGAGTCCATTGTACTATACTGGTAAGTTTGACAAAGTACGCATGACTTGGAGAGGCCTCCGTTTCAGCAGCTTCTTTGTTTTTTTTTGTTTTTTTTTTTAGTAAAACACAAAGGCAGACTCCACGAAAATAGAACAATCCTCTGTAGAAGACTCAAAAACGCGCTCTCCGCCCTTAAGAAATTATAGACAACGCTTAAAAGACAAAAGAAGACACCACGCCATTTTATTCAAGCATGATGGCAGTTGTAGTCCCTACTTTTTCATGTCCTCTTAAAAAGACCTCAGTCCTAAGCCGCTATTTTTTTCTTGCAAAAAATAGTATTTGTTGTGCCGTTTTTACAAAAAGAAAACAAAAATGAAAACGACTTTTACTTGGAGGCTTAAAAAGAGCGAGGACTACATATCCCATCATGCTTTGATGTACAAACTGGCGTCGACATCGACGTTTTGGTTAGGGAGAATCTACGTAGCACTCAGTTGATGTAATATATTCATAAAGATATAATACAAAACACATAATACAATAGAACGAGAAACAATGGAATACAATACATTTTATGAATACATTACATCAACTGCGTGCTACGTAGGTCACCCCGTTTTGGTTACCGCTCTGCTATTGCTACTCTTTCCATTTAACTCGGCCAAAGGCACACAGGAAGACCAACTAACACTCGTTCGTCGTCTATTTTAGCAATGACAAGCTGGTTTCAAATCCATCCCAAGATCGTCCTGATGACACTTGCTCTACACCCAGTCGGGTTTCTTAGTGGGTATGCTCTACTGGAGAAACGACGCGATAAATGCCGTTTCCAAAGCCTTCTTTCAACAAACATCAAAACACTTGAGGCTACAGACTTCTTGCCGCTTAAAACCAAACTTCGCCAAACTTGTGTTCTTTTGCCAGCAATCATGGAAATTTTTCTGAGCTTCCTGTTCAACGATGTCGTGGTCAGCGGTATTACGACAAGTATCGTATTTAAAAACTCTCCCTTTTCGCCAGCAGATCATTACAAATACTACATGCTATCCTCTTTCGCCGGTCTGTGCCTTGGACGTGCGTACCTGGGTATAGTGGAATTAATCAAACCTGGTTGGGCGGACAAGATTCTTATTCGACGCACGTGGTTACTGGTTGCCTTGGCAATGTGCCACATGATAATCTTGGTGCTGGCTTCCATATATAGATTTCTCCCGAATGTGTGGGTCACAATGATTTTAGTGTTTTCTTTAGGGTTTTGGAGCGAAGCGGTGTTCACCAATATTACTGTGATATTAGGTGAACAAGAAGACTCTCGAGTGAGGGAATTGTCTTTGGGAATGTCAGTCTATGGCATAAGCCTTGGCAACCTGGTTGGCTCAGTCTTGGCCAAGTATATAGAAAAACCACTCGTTGCGCACTGCATCAGCGCTTTGAAAAGCGTTAGGTTATGTTTCACAAGGAACCTTTAGTGGACGCTGTAAACCTGTGAAACCATTTAAAGCAACACTGCTGGATGATAACTCATCATTTAACTTCGTATAAAACTAAGTGTGCATTTGTAACATCGCCTCGAGGATAACGATAGTTCATTTTAATCGCACTCCAAAATTAAGATAGCAGACAGCCACTGACCAAAAGGAACACGGGCTCTACAGTGAGAACAGTGGACTTCGAAAACCATTCATTCAAAGGACCAGTATTACCCTAGATGCTTTGCGATGATTTTTTTGTTTTGAAAAGGAATGCTTGTTTCTGATTGGTCGGTCCTGTGGTGATATTCTCGCTTGTAAATTTTGCATCTTGCTTCATTGAAAGCTCAGAAATACAAAATGTGACGAAGCGCGCGGAGCATCCAGTGTGATACGAAACCTTTCAAGCACCAAATACTTATAAACGGCGATTTTAAAAAATAGAAAATGTTTCTTTTTATATATCCATTTTCATTGTAATAGTTAAATTTCAAAAACTCTAAGAATTATTGAATATGTGCACACATGTAAATAAAAAAATATGTGCATATGTAACAGAAAAAAATATGGATTTTATCTTCTCGTGTTGAAAATCTTGCTAAGCTCACTCGCGAGAGATCTTTTCAACACTCGAAGATAAATACCATATCTTCGCGCGCCCATGTAATATCCTCTATATATTCAAATTGATATACAGTCATTTAAAACATAATTAGTACGTTTACAACAATGTTACCGCCAAGCGTCATTCATATTGGTAAATTCTCGTACCCAGGGTACTTAACTTTTTAAGCTAAATTATGCCCGATTCCAAGCAGATTGATATGTTACAATTTGAACCAATTTTTGTTTAAGTTTGGAGACTTATGTTGAGTTGATAAAGTTACGATAAGATTACGAAACGCATTCAAAATGAACGCGGAATTGTGGGTAGCGTTACGATTTCGATATGTTTTCGCGATCAAGGCTTTGGTACTATTTTGACACTGGTTTGATACGATTTCGATTCGATTTCGAAACTAGTTTCAATTCGATTTGAACACGGTTTCGAAATACTGGTTTCCGTTTCCCACTCATTCTAAATGGCTCAATGACACGCACGTGTTCTTACGTATACGAATCAAACCTCGCACGTATTGTTACGTATACGAGCCAAATCTTATCAATAATCCCGAATTCCCTTTGAAATGCATTTGAATCTATTTATGACTGATGTATACGATGTAAAATTTAAAAATTCCCAAAATTTTCGGCTAAAACACGCGTGGTCTGGGTGACTTACGCATAACTGCTTACGTAAAGGTGCCTAACCCGCAAATACTAGTGGTGAAGCGCATAACGTACACAATGCTTCTAGTCAAATATACGTAAACGAAACTATAGTTGACTTAGGAGCTGTCAATTGTAAAAGCTAAGGTGTATAATTTCATTATAAAACCTAAAAGTTAAGGAGTGTTGGTCAAATGGATATAATCCAACATACAAGGTTGTCATAGCGAAACGGCGGTAGCACAACCGAACGGCCCTGTGGGTATTAAATTGCTGATAACTGATTCTCTTATCTGCTGCAAAACAAGGACAAACTAAACAAAGATTTTCACTAAATAAAGCATTGAATGTCTTCAATGGATTAAATTTGCCATCAAACAATTATTACCCATAGTACCTCTGGATCGTGCATACTCCAATCACCATGACAACCAAACTTATGAGACCTATAATCGTATAAATATCAATCCTAGCGTAGAAGCGCGTAACGTAAAGACTTCGTAACGTAGGATTGCAATAATTTCATTAATTCTTTCCCTGATAAAATTCTTGTAAAATTTTCCAAGCTCTTGGAGCCATAAAACCGTCGGGCGGATTTTCCCCTGAACGTGCTAGATTACGCATGCGCGTGCCTGATATAAAATCGTAGTCTTGCTTGAATTCCGGGTCGAAGAAATCCATCTTGTGCTTACGCGTGTTGTACGCAGCGACACGGAACGGAACGATTTCTAGTTGCGTAAGGCCTGGAGCCATGGTCAGCACCTAAAAATCGACAAAGAAAAAATCTTGAGATTTACGCAGTTTCCCTACGTTTTCCGCCACTCGTACGTACGTAACAGTTATTGTCTTACCTGTCTGCCATGACTCGGATGATATAAGTTCTGGTCTTTGTTAGCCGGGTGGGGCATACCGGCAGGATCACGCCCTACGATATAGAAATTAACCCCTGCAGCTACCCGGGCCTTGGCGTGCCATTGTACCTAAAATATACAATTGCGATAGGAATTACTTAAGGCACGGCTCCCCGACCCTCCGACCCCCCGATACCCCGGGGAATAGCGACTGAATGAACATTCACAAATATTGAAGCAAAACATAATCACTAAGGTGTTATAGTCCCATTGACCTCTGAAACTTTTACGTCACTACTTGATTTTCAATGCATTGTGGGATCAGTTTCTAGAGAAAACAAAAGAAATCCGCCATGTTCTGTCCCAAACATATCCTACAATGCATTACGTATACAGTACATGACGTAAAAGCTTCAGAGGACTATGGACACAAAAGAAAAAAATGGAATTAGCGACTAATAAGACGTATATGTAAAATAACAGTTGTGTAAAAAGATAAATTTAACACCGTAAAAAAGTAGGTGAAGTAACTTACTGACGTTTCAGACGTTAATCCTTCGTCGGAGTAAAGAGATGGAACCATCATTAACGTCCGAAACGTCAGTAAGTTACTTCACCTACTTTTTTACGTTGTTAAATTTATCTTTTTACACAACTGTTTCTATAGAAACACCGACGCAGCTCACAATAGTTTACCGCTAGTTTCCACCCTATGTAAAATAACGAGGTTTTCACCCACCTCAGTAGGTCCAGCATACATCATAGGCGATGGAAAGATAGCTAGGAGTGTAGCATCTGGATTAAGGACTTTATCCTCTAAGACAGCGTGATGCTGCTTGATACGCACACCAAGCGGGACATCGTCGTCCTTAGTCCACCCTCCAAGAGGATGGAGCAGGAGAACTGGGTTCTTATAGCCTCGTTTGAGTAGCTTCTCTCTTGTGTCCTATAACAAGGGAATTTTAATCTTGTTAAACTACCCGAACCTCACTCTAGTTCTTTTTACGCTTTTCCAATCTCGTACCCAGAGCCCGCACTTTTATTATTAAGCGGTTGCCAATGCGTCAGCAGACCGCTGACATTAGCCGTGAAGACTCTGGGCTCGAGATTGAAACTTTTAGTGTTTTGTGACCTACCTGCATAAGAAGAGCGTGTCCATTGTGTATCGGGTTTCGAAGCTGGAAAGCGTAAATGGCGTCAGCATTTCTACGTCGGAGTTCAGCTCGCAATTCCTTGGGTGTCAAGCGATATTCATCAAGACCGTCATCCCATTTTATTCGCTGCAAGACCTCGAGATCTCCCCCCGATAACCAATCACCCTGCTCCAGTACCATCTGTAAGAGAAAGAAACGGAGTGAAGAGAATATTTTTATACTGAAAGCGTTCGAAGCTCATACAGTAACCCTTCTAGGCAGTCAACTTTCGTTATAACGAACAGCGAGGCTACCAACAAGCCTCAGCGAAGAATTCCATACAAATTTTAATTCCTCCATAACTTTGTTAATATTCCGTCCATAGCTTTAAAACTTTCCATGAATACCTATTTCTAATAGTTCTTCCATATGATAGTATTGAATATTTCCATATTATTGTCAATTGTATAAATTCGATGGTAGGCACTTATAACTTTGTTAATACTTCGTCCATGAATTCAAAACTTTCCTAGTTCTTCCATATGACACTGTGTTGAATATTTCCATAATATTGTCAATTGTATGAAATCGATGGTAGGCACTTATGAAAGTGGTCTATACCTTGATGTACGGATGATCAGCATTTGTTGTGCCCCATTGTCGTGCGCATCGCTCCTCTTTACGGTGTTCGTAAAAGTCTGGATTTCTAACGATTGCTATACATCTATCTTGGTAAGTAAGTGTGTAGGCATCACATTCTTGTAGACGATCTTTGTCATTAGTAGACAAAGGCAACACTATTGGTATGGACTGGTTTGATACACATGCTACACAAAGAAAACATATTTAAAGGTTTTTAAAATTTCCAAGTCGCTTTAGGAGTTAAGTCATGCGTCACGCAAGAAGTGAAGGTAGCATTGCGTGACGCGTGAACGAAACTAAAGACTAAATCGACCGATCCCGATTCATTGTCCTATACTTCCCTAGTTACTGTTGCTACGTCGGCACAAGCGAAAATATTCCTTTGGTATAGAGCATGGAAAAAATACCGATTGCTGCTATATGTAGGAAATGTATGTTTTTTTACATTTTCATCAGGAAAATCTAATGAATTTAGTAAAAATATCCGATTTTTGTGTTTGTTGCTCGGACAGTTTCAATTCCACTGGGAAAACTGCTCGTTGTTTGCTGATTAATCTATGTGAAGAAGCGATCGTTGAATTGGAGTTTGAATAGTGATAAACTGGCAGCGATGAAACTCAGACAAATTATTCGAGGTGACCATTTGTAATGCGCGTCGAGCTGTAAGGAAAGCGGCGAGTAAAATACCTCCTAGAAGTGCGCCAAAGTGCTGACATTGTAGATACTCCTTTTCCCTCATAAACCCAGACAGAGGCGTGGCCCATCCTTCCGACAAAACCTGGATCCATTGTAAATCAAGCTGGAACACAAACAAACCCAACGTTAGACATCATTATATGAAAATTACAACGTTATTGCAACGAACGTCAGATAGTATTATTTAGAGATTTCTGGGGATAGTGAAATGCAATAATTATGGACAGCAGTCGTCAAGAAACTTGAGGTGAGCTGAATTCTGAAAAATGGTTGGTACAGTCAAATTTTACCTTACGGACACCCCATAATTACGACCAGCTCGTTATCGTGAACACTTGAATTAATCCTCGTTCGAAAGAAACGACTGAAAATAACTCGCTTTAAAGAGGGCAAGCGGGATTACTTACGCTAAATTACGGACCCGAAGGTGTTCGTTATACCGAGAGTTTACTGTACTAAAAGGAACACCCTTTACAACGAACACTATCTATAATGGACACTTAATTACTGTCCCGAAGCTGTCCGTTAGAACGAGAGTGGACTCCACTGATGGATCAAGACGAAAAGATGCTGTTTCATACCTTTGTAATGGCTAATTTAGGTAAAGACATCGCTTCTTTTGTTGCTGTTTCTAAATGTTCTGGAGCAACAAAAAGCTCTTTTATCCCGTTGACCATCGCATGGGGAAGAATTCCCTGCATGGAAAAACAAGAAAGGTTCATAACAAATTGATATCAAATGAGACTATTACTGGATAAGTACTTGAAAGTCTCTTTGATATTATTGGTCTTATAAAAGAAAAGTTTGTAATGGACAAAAAACGCACAGGGATAGACGAAAGATAAAAAACTGATTAGCGAAGAAAGCAAGGAAGGTAGCGAGCAAGCAATGGAAGGCGATGAAAGGAATGGGAGGGAGGAAGCAAGCAAGGGAGGGAGAAGGATGGCAGGAATGGGTGGAAGGACGGATAGAATGGGATGGAGGGAGAAAGCAAGCAATAGAGGAGGAAGACACGGACAGGAGGAAGCAAGCAAGAGAGGGAGAAGGATGGCAGGAATGGGTGGAAGGACGGATAGAATGGGATGGAGGGAGAAAGCAAGCAATAGAGGAGGAAGACACGAACGGGAGGATGCAAGCAGGGGACCAAGAATGGAGTTTGGGAAGGGCGATATGAATATGAGGACCGCATGGGAAGGGAGGAATTTAGTAAGCGAGAGATGGAAAAAGGAAGTAATGTAAGAAGCTAAAAGGAAAAAATATATAGAAACGAGAAAAAAGGATAAAAAGAAAGGAAGGATCAAACAAACGAAAAATTAACGTTGAATCTTACGATGAATTACGTACCCGATCAGTAAGCATCTCAACCAGTTTCTCTAAACAGTCATCTACCGTTAGTTTTCCTGCATCGAGACTAAGTTCAGGATTAGGTGGTGGTTGGTATACGGCATCAATACCAGTAAAACCTAGAGAAACGCAAAGTATCTTACGTTTACATAAAGGTTTACGTAAGTCAAATAAAAAGGTAAACAAAGCAGACTTGGAACAATGCTTGGTCTTCAGTAGTACGTTTTTAAAAACGCAAAGCTTTGCGTTTTAACGTAAAGGTTTACGTAAGAAGACTGCGTACCTTTGATCTGACCAGCTCTCGCTTTCTTATACAAGCCTTTAACGTCTCTCTCTTCGCATTTTTCTAGCGGCGTATTGACAAAGACCTCGAAGAACGGAAGCTTTGCGTCCTCGTGCCGTTTACGTGCCATTTCACGATCCTTTAGATGAAATTATATCAGATATTGTTAAATATTTGTCTCCGAATGATAACGAGTTGAAAATGTCAACAAAGACGTGGAGTTCAATGAAAACTATGCATTGCGATCTTGGAATGAACAGGGTTTGTGCTGCATTTTCACTACATGATTCCAGGACTTTTCAAGTACTCTTTAACCACAAAAATGCGATTTTCAAGGACTATTTTTGAACATATTTTTTGTTTTTTTACGGACGTTTTTCCTGCGTCCATTTTCAAAAATAGCCACATTTTAATCCAAAAGCTAACAAGCAACATGTCAATTTTATCAGATTCAAGGACTTTTTCCAGGAGTTTTAGCGATTTTCCTCATTTTCAAGGGCTTCTCAGGCGCCCTTGAAAACGAGTTTTTATTCCAGGGGGCGAATTCATCGTTTTCTGAAATCTCTGTATGCCAAACTTTTTCACAATGATCATCATTTTAGAATCGATCTTTGGTACCTTTGTGTAAGGACTAATGAAAGCCGTCAAACAAATCATCCCAGAATCCGCAAATAGTTTAGCGACCTCGCTAACACGACGAATATTCTCTTCTCGATCTTCGGGGGAGAATCCCAGGTTTCTATTCAGTCCAGTTCGCATGTTGTCGCCGTCAAGAGTGTAGGATGGAAGGCCTTGTCGACATAGAAAATCCTCGAGGGCCATACTAAGGGTGGTCTTGCCAGCACCAGAGAGACCTATGGGTTACACAAACCTCAGTTAAACGACCGACCTCTATATACCGATGCTCTACTAGCTAAGCTATAAGGTCAGACTGGCAGCAAGTCGGGTTTGAGGGGTCCAAGGGTCTTTCTCCCAGAATTACCTACTTCTAAGCACTATAACTTTCCTTCATTTCTATATCATGCTTTTCACAGTGCCGTGCGGTCCTCGTATTCATAGGGTACAAACATATCAAAGAATTGCATTTCATTCGTGCGGGATTCCTGTGCTTTTAAAATTTGGGCTTCCTTTAGCAAATCCATGCCATATTTGGAAACAAACGAAATGGCGGATTGTTGAGAAGTGTTTTCGCTATAATATCTGCAAGTCCAGCAAATCGCCAAAAAACAGTCCTATCGTACTTTCAAATAAGGTAAGATTACCATATATGGCTCCTAAACGAAAGACAAATTTTGTGGGGCAATTCTTTGACATGATTTCTTACAACAAACATACATGCATCAGGAGTTTCGGAGAACAATGCATCCGCCATCTTGAAAAGTGAGACTCAAATCACTAAATTATAACTCCTAAAGAAATTAAAAGGTTCTAAGTTAATGTAAATCTAATATAATATACGTTATGATAGATTAGTTGACTAAGCAGCTATGAAATTTGTTCTAAGGCAAAACAGTGATTCAGGGCTCACTTTTCAAGATGGCGGACACATTGTTCTCTGAAACTCCTGATGCGTGTATACTCATCATGCTTTGTTCCAGAGAATCGCGTTGCCGGTGAGCGCTGACTATCTAACTTACCAGTGAACCACACTGTACAGCCACGAAATCCTGCTCTCGTACCGACGACCTGCCCTCTCTTATCCCTAGTTACGTTGTGGTCTTTGTAAGTGACATTGGTAGCTTTGATGACATTCTGTTAAAGAAAAGAAAACAAAGTTACACAGAGACTTCGTGTAGATAATCTTTTGTGTCTCGCTCAGTACAGACGGGTCTACTATCAATTCAAAAAGGCACAAATACTTCGTATAGATAATCTTTTGTGTCTCGCTTACTGGTACAGACGGGTCTACTATCATTRGCCATTCCGAAATTYAAAAAGGCACAAATACTTCGTGTAGATAATCTTTTGTGTCTCGCTTACTGGTACAGACGGGTCTACTATCATTAGCCATTCCGAAATTTAAAAAGGGACTGGTGACTAGTCACAAACTCGATATTAGATGACACAACTTTTGCCTACAACCATCGCATGCAACCTGCGTAAGTCATCCTTACAACCATGGCTACAACTGTCGTGGGTCTATTAAGCAATTCTTTTAAATCCCTACAACAGTTGTAGCCATGTCGTAAGGATGACTTACGCAGGTTGCAAGCGATGGTTGTAGGCAAAAGTTGTTTCGTCTAATTCGGCTTTAAAGCAATCAAACATTTTTTTAGAATATTACAATTAGTATAGTTGCTGAGTTTGAGCGCATTCGGATCAATAACTACAGAGTGGCAAGCGTTTAAAACTCGAAAAAATTACAAAGAAATGTATGGAGGTTTTTGAGCAGCGTCCCCAAAAACCATAAATTCTCTTTTATTTTTACAAACTTGAAAAAATAGCACTCGTCGAGTATTCAACTAAATAGTCTAGCAAACTTGACAAGAACACTAATTGTAGCGCGGTAATTCTGGTGAGGTTCAGTTCTTTTTTTATTTTTTATTAAAATAAGTCTCCTTTTGCATTTCGCAATAATTTAAATGGTAAGCAAATTTTCGTCATAATAAAAGCAAACATATTTTCGTAGTGACTATCGTGACCTTGGTTGCAAAGCTCTTTACAATAGCTTCAAGCGATATTGACCCCCAGTTTTGGAGGTAATGCAAACCAGCAATTTGTATAATACTGACACTTTGATAAAATGTAATATTGTTTTTTTAGATATTTGCTAATAGCTAAATCCAAATGTTATCTTAAAACATTAAGCAAAAACAGTTTGCGTTTTTAGGTTCAAAGTGGGTTTTTAGTCACCTTTTACTTAAGTAAAACGCTTTGTACGCCGGGTTTGTCCGTTAACTCGATTCTTTGTACGTAAATTGACTCTACACACTAACGCTGTGTAATTGAATTCTTTGGGTTATTAGCTTAAACAACATGGGTTTTTGTACGTTAGTTCTTTGTACGTAAACACACAGGGCATTTAACGCTTTTTGGACATAAGCGCTTTGTACGTAAGCGCTTTGTACGTTAGCGATTTGGGCATAAATGTTTTGTGGCTAGACGTTTTGTGCACAAACGCTTTATTAAAAGAAACGTGTTGTACGTAAGCACTCTGGACCTAAGTTCTTTGTACTGAAACTATTTGTACGTAAACGATTTGGACATGAAAACCTTGTACGCAAGCACTTTGTACGTAAAAGCTTAGCATCTAAACGCTTGATAAGTAAACGTTAACACGTTTCGTTCAAACGCTATACAACTGCACTAAGTATTTTGTAACATCGATCCTAAGGGTCATGCCACGGTGCTTGGTTTCAGGATAGCGGTTTTAACAGGATCAGAGGCTCTTGAATTATTTTATCGCGAGACGATCAGTTATTTCAGACAACTAGAATCACTCAAATTTTGAGGAATAAAGGGTCAAATTGGAAAGAAACGCCGGTATTAGGGGTGAACATTTTGTCTAGAGAATATTGTCATGACTCTTAGCCTCTCGATCAGTCACATCGCGGGTCAACCACGAGCCAAAATCCGTACCCTCTGTAGACTAAGTTAATAACAAAGATTCGAAAATATAGCGCGATGTCCGAGAGCAAGCAACTTGCAGCGCGGTCTGAAATGGATTTCATGAAAATCTATAACCGCGGGATCGAAGGTACTTGGGAAATGACACGTTTAAAAGTCCTTGACTAACAGCAAATATTCGAAGCTACGTTGAGGAGTATGGCTTCGAATAAAGTTTTGCAAGATATGAAAATTCAAAAGCACTTCTGGTAATTTTTTGTCTGTTTTACAACAGTAACCTGATGTGCTTTTTTGTTTAAAAGTAAAAGTTTATATTTCTTACTTGGAAACCATTAATAGCGCTTGCCATTGTTGGTACACAGCGGTTTTCGTGTTTTCCTATTGTATTTCTTTCGATAAAAACTGTGTTTACTCAAGCCTACAATAACCTGCTCAGAGATACCGTCTAGTGCAAGTATACTGTCACCTTTAGCAAAATAACGGAGAATTTTAAAAACCCTCTTGTAAACTGATTCGACGTGGCAATGATCAGATTTCATCGCCCAAGCAACAATCAAATCAAACACTCACGTTGGATTTTAGCCATTACCTACATGCAGACTTATGTATCAAATACATTAAAAACGTCTAAAATGCTTGTCACATTATCGCGTTTCAGATCGCTTTCAATACAAATGACATATATCCATCACATATCATTTGACGGAGTTCTGCCGGTTCCACGACTACGGCAAAAAGATGAGAAAACTTAAGAAAGAGGGATTAATAGAAATTAGATAAAATTGGAATAACCAATTTAAGAATGACTAAAAATTCAAAAGAAATATTAGGAAAAGAATAGACAGACGAATGAATGCAATAAAAATAACTTGGGGAAAACTAGTTAAAATTAGAAAAAAAATTCTAATCCTACATGGATTAAAACAATCCTACGTGGATTTTAACAGAAATTCATAGTGTCATCATCATCAACATTGCACTTCTTGTATTTTGATGTCTGCCTTGTGGTATCTTTACACTATAAAACTACCTGCATTATTACAAAGAAATTCTAACACAAAACTCGAAAAATAGCCCTTGGGGATTATTTTGCGAGGACTATACATGTACCATCATGCTTTGCTCAACAAAATGGCGTCGCTGAAGAAAGCGAATGAAATTTTTTAAAGATTACTCCACAAATGACCACTAAAATTATAATTTTCGACCATTTTAGCATTTTCAAATTATCTTTTTTATAAATATACTTCTCATGCTGTGAAGCCCCATGTAGTTTTTTTGAACAGGAAATTTGGACAAATAATTAGAAAAGGCTAATTAAAGGTTGGTTTATACCTTTGAGTAATGGATTTATTTTATTAAAATAACGATTTTTTAAAAATGCTAATAAAAAGAGAACAAGTGAAAAGCAAATGACAATGAAAAAGTGAAAAACAGACAAACTTGATGAAAACCAAAAAGCACCATTTTACGGATTAAAATAAGGATTCTCCTAGAAAAATTAAAACGCAAATAAATTCACTATATACTGTAATTAAATTCAATAGTATTCACAAATTCTGATCAACTATAAAATTACATTATTTTGAAGTATTACAATTTGTCAACAAAAACGCGAACAATTTGTGAAGTACTTTTACCTAAAATCACTTAGAAATGATCAATGCACCCTATGAATATAAAATTCTGTTCATATTTTGAAAATAGAATTCAGTATAATTCGCAGGCTTTGTAAAATCTGGAACTGTCGAGGAATAAATGTAGCCTCAGAAATGAGGCAAAACGGATTTTTTTACTGCAAAAATCCAGATGAAATACTAGAGAAACCAAGGCAAAAACCTTTCAGATATTCCACCTAAACCACAAAATTGCTCGATAAAACAAATTTTTAACCAATTTCTGAATATTTTAAACCAAACAAATGAAATTTAAGTAAAATTTTCGCATGTACTCACCATTGTCAAAACAACTACTTTTCGAGTTCTTGCGTTTTCTGGGGAAGTGTATTTACTTTCGTGGCTTCGACCAACTGTAGTCACCGACAATGAGTTTTGATTTGTATAAACAAAGGCGAATTACAGAATAATCAGTTCTAGATCAAAAACAGCTAATAACTTACTGTGGGCGTTGCAAGTACGAGTCCAAAAATATTTTTGAAAACGACTTTGAAATCGCCCAGAACTCGAACAGGACGACCACAAAAGAAGTTGCTTTCCTTTCAACAGTCCACTACGACTTCAATTGACTTATATTTCCTCATTAATTAAAAGCAATTTAAGATTTCAACGAGTAATTTTGCAAGAGAATAAATTATTCAAAGGTTTCAATACAAAAATAAATCCAAATCTTAACAAGAACCTTGTAATATTTATAAAGGAAACCAGATGGACATTAATTATTAACAATGCATAATGAGACTTTTCACTTTTTTCACGGGAATTTTACGACTACACAAGATAATTAAAATCTAATTTACACTGATTTGGTCTAAACTTAAGTTTACATTGGCTGAGATAGAAAGCAGTGTTTTAAATCAAAAGAGGTTTAACTCAAAAACATTAAAACCCAGTTAACACGTAAACACTTTGACTTTGCAAACGGTCACTTCGTGAAAACGTCTATTACACTGGTGATTTTACGGAAAAGTATCGTATGTCTCCGCAATGGTTTATTGTAGAAACGTTTACGATTGAACCGTTTATTTAGCGTTTACGTGCTGGCAGAAGATTCAATGGATCAAATGAAGTTGTCCCAGGGATAAAGCTAAAAAAATATTTAATACACTGGATAAAAACGATTGATCCGTTATGGATAGCATAACCATATAAAGAATCTATTGATCTTTCTGTATTGATAGGCATTAAAAAAAAAACATTTCAAAAGGACCTCGAGGTTTAGAATATAAGACTAGTTTATGAATCTTAATACTAGGTATAGTTTGAAGTAACCCTGGATATAGGAAAAATATAGAAATTTTAAGGGCTATAGCCCATGCATTTTGATAAGAAATGGGTAATTTTGAGCAATTTTGAGGGCTATAGTTCATACATTTTGATTAAGTTGGGAAGACAACGAAACGTTGTTCATTGAAATTTGCTTGTCAAAAGGAACGGTCATCAAAATGGAGAAACACTTGTAAACAAAATACTAAATAAATAAAAAGTTAAATGAATTCATGATTGAATCATTAAAAATTTAAAGTAAAAAAAAAATTCATAAATTGATTAACAATTAACGTTAGAAAGTCTATATTTTATTTTCTTAAACAAAAACAACTCCGGCTCGAGATTTTTTACGATAGCTACTACGATAGCTATAATACTGTATAATATAAATAAAAGTAATTATTATTTTAATTGTGCTAAAATAACATTTTTTGACAGATATGGTGAAACTATTTCCTGTATGAAATGCCTCTTGAGACTAGCACTTTTTATCATTGAATTGTATAACTCTGATTTCAAATTCTTTTCTATTAATTATTCCTTGCTAGCAAGAATCAATATGTCATTAAATAATACATGTTGTCAATGGTTTCTGACATCCTCAATAGGAATTTTGAATTACAAAGACCTACATTTGCTTTGGCAACAACACTTGCTTGTCAAGAATCTTATAATTTTGAATAATTACTTTGTATATTATTATTAATAATTAAGAATATAAGGAAGCAATGTTTACATAACATATTACAGTAAAAAACAGTGATTTTTATCATCCCATGAAACAATATTCAATATTCAGTCTTGATAATGGTTCGGTGATATTACATCGTAATATTCTCCTACACGGTTCCCTGCGCCATCTTGAAAGGTAGCCATGCATTTATATCAAAGCGACACAACCGTTGAGCAAGCAATGATAGCTGTTACCTGTGAATAATTGTCTATAGGTGTGAAAGAAGGTTTCTATCATTGCACGCTCAAGAGTCGCCTCGCTCCAATGCAAAGGCACCTCTACCTTTCAAGATGGCGCAGGGAACCGTGAAGAAGACTATTTGTAATTTAATAGTCAAAGTTTTAGAATGTGTGATGCATCAAAAAGAGAAAGAAAAACATGTGAAATAAAGAGCAATAAAGTGTAGAATGCTAAAGTGTATTTTATAAGTTAATGGAAACAGCTCTAAACCTGTGAAACAAAATATAATACTCCAAAAGCCACAAAAGAAAAGGAGTTTAAAGCAACTACCAAAGGTGTATCAGTATCCTTTCATTTCACTGCTTAATAGAAAGAGCTCTGACCGACCATTGGTTCTTGAATGTAAATTTGTTTGGAGGGGGGAGGGGGGAGGGGGGGAGAGGGGGAGATTATCCCATATATTGAGGGGTGGGAGATGATTGTTGCCTCTTTTAGAGGTAAAAATATAAAAATCAGCTGTGCAGAGTTCTGGTATCTAAAGTCGACATATTCAATTTGTTCCTGCTTATGACTTTGATAGATCAAAGAATTTATGAAAATTCTTTTACAAACCTTAGGTTGAATGTATTTGATGTTGAGGTCACTAGAATTGTTAATAGTGCTTAAAAATTTGAATTTGTCAATTTTTAGTTGGTATCTTTGTAACCCCCCANGAGCGCGCGATTATCCAATCAGAAGAAAGCGCGGGAATCGAACTCTCACGCTTGTCCCACAAACGACCCACAAATGCTTTCGATATTTTGTAAATGACATTCTTTGGACGATTTGTCGATAGAATTTCCGATAAATTTTCTGTTTCTTTTGTTAAAAACAATCTGAAGTCAATTTGAAAAAGGCCCAGAGAAATGATTTAATTATTTTTCATGAGTTTTACTTTGAGCACTTCGTGCTTTTTCCGTACATTTTGATCCAATTCAAGCATTTTTCTAGGCTAGTTGTTGTCTTGGGAATCAAAATAAATCGTCCTCCATTTCATTTGCCAGTCTAGCGCTCATCTGCTTTACAAGTGCCCCAGCAACATCTCAAAACCATCTCAACTTCGCCCTCCGAACCGACTTGTTTACATTTTTTGTGGGACAACATGTCTGCCATTACATGTTCTCTATTTTGATTGGCCAATCCAGCTTGCGCGGATAACGAGTTTGATTTGTCGGAACTATGAGTTGCTGGAGTTTCCAATCAAAGAAACCCCATGTTAGGTAGCAATGAATTGTATTGGTTCATTGATCAGAGTTCTTTTGGCTCAAGGATCACATTTCAACCTTTCTTGTCTCAGAGATCACATTTTTATCATTTGTTTGGGCTCAGAGATCAGTGTTTTAGTGATTTTGCGTTTGGATCAATCTCTAGGAATCAGGGGCCAGTTTTACAATTCAAATGGTCAGGATATTATCCACTCCTTAGATTTTGTATGGGATTTTACATTCTGGATAAGGATCTATCCTGTGGATAATGCTATTCAACCTTTATACAATGGACTCCTGGATCATACAAGTTACTAGGAGGGATTGGCAAGGATCAGGAATCGAAATTGTCGTCATTTTGGGGATTAAGGATCAGGCCGATATCACAACATTCCAGCACCTAGCCCAAAAATTCAAGGCCTATCTTTTAAATCTTGTTTGGTGTTTTTGAGTGTTTACAGTGCTGTAAAACGACTTCAAGAAGTAACACGAACCCTTATAGTGACATGACCACTAAAAAAATATAAGGTTAAGGTTACCTGGATACCTCCGCCATCAGGGAGAAGCGGTCCCGTATCTAGAAAAGACCTAACATGACGGAAAAACTCGCGAAACACTAAAAGAAACTACAAATTAAATGTTTTTTATCCAATTAGAACCATTGAGAAAGAAAACTGGTGTATATCCTTAATAAATTTAAGCTTAACTTCAAGTTGCTGAGAAACACCGACTTCTCTGCGATATTGGTTGTGAAATTAGCTTAAGCCAAAATAAATCAATTTAAAAGAATGTTTTAACAAGGTACTCACAGCAGCGGTTGTTCGGTCTTCCATGTTGCTTGAAGTTGCCATATTATGTGCCTGGGAAACCTCTTTACATCAAAACAATAACAGAAGAAAATCACAATACATCGGCAGGCGAAAACCTTGTCATTCGTGTGCAACGTGTCGATACAGGGAATCCGCAATTCCACAGGGAGCCCATAAAGGAGTGATTGAGAGAACGGGAAGGAACGCGAAATTTAGAAAAGAAGAGAAATGAAATGGAAAAAAAGGAGAAATAGTTTGATATTTTTGAAAGAAAAGAGACAAAAAATAAGAAAATGTAAATAATAAGAAAAAAGGAGAAGGGAAAGTCCAGGTGTAATATAAATTTAAATGAAGACATTTGCAGAAATTTAACAGCTGTTTATTCCCAGTTATACATGCCTAATACACTGCAAATCAGTGATTATCAAATCTCCTATTACCAGGAAGAAATGAATATATCTTACACGGTAAGATCATATAAATTTATCAACGAGATTACCAACAATTTGCTGATAAATCTTTAAGTGTTAAACTTAAAAATAATTTAAGAAAGTGATTTTCTTCACAGAAGAAGTTGTTAGGGATATTTACAATTGCATTTTAGCTATCTTAGAGTGGGTATTTTTGGCGAATATGGCCATCGAGCTAGTCATGGATTTTTACTATATGATAATCACAATTGCAATCAAAAGCACATCCGTAAGAAAAAATACCAACTTAAAGTCAAGCACAACTCAAAGCAAACGCAAGTAGAATCGTAAGCGCCATATTCCTTACGTTTCCTTACGTTTTTAGCGCACGTGCGGTACTAACTATAAAGTGTAATATTTACAAGGCTAGCTCTAATCAAAGTAGGGGATCTCTTCAACACGCAAGTGGAATCGTAAGCGCGATAGTCCTTACGTTTACGCTTGCGTTTGTTTTTAGCGCACGTGCGGTACTAGTTTTTAAGCACAACATTTACAAGGTGAGCTCTAAGCAAAGTAGGGCATCTCTTCGACACTAGAGGCTGCATCTCCGAGCAGGAATAAAGCTTCGTGCGGTAGCGGTGCAGGTAAACAATGGCTTGGCTGATAGGCACTTGTCATCCTTGAGCAAATACATGATTCGCTAAGGTTCTTTATATAATCTTCCAAACTCTTCTTTTCCTTGCGTAGTTCTTGCACTTCTCTCTTTTTCTCGTTATTTAATTGTTCCCACTTTTCTATTTTCTGCAATAAAAATAGAGATTGTTAATAATAAATCGGTAGTAATTGGCAATCGACTAAGTTTTGATTGAGTGGCATCCTCAAGCATTCAATTGTTGGCATTGTTTAGAAAGCATTCTGTTGATATAACGCACTGTTTAAAATGTATTCAAACTTAATGTTTAAAAACCTTTTTGAATAACCGACTCTCGACAAATGCATGCTTGAAATTTTAACTAACAACAGTCAAACCCTGTTAAATTAATCCAATCCAATCACTTCACTGACCTGTAGCAGGGAATCCCTTCGTGCCTTCTTCTTCTGTCTGCATTTCGTAGCAGCAATTTTATTTTTTTCGCGTTTTCTCTTCAAATCTTCGGGCTTTTCTGGAGGTTTAGGCTAAAAAAACAATGTTATGAGGATATGGTTATTATCTTTAATGTATTGAAGAAGAGAGGATATAATTAAACAAGCAATTAAGACAACTTGTAAAACCAACAAATCATGATGACAAACTCATAGATGTTACTATAACTTCTTCAACTATAACTAAAAGAGAGAATAGCCAAAAGAGAAATGTGAAAACAATCCAAAACAAACGCCCAAAGATTAATCAAAATTTGCTTCGAAATGAGTAGTAAATACACATACAAACAGACGAATAAATGGGTTTCAAATGACTGCCAAAAACCGAAGAGAAGTAACATACAAACACTGAAACATGGCAACCAAAACAACAACAAATATTATATTTCCTGTACGCACATCGACTCGCATTAAAAACACAACACTGCTGTTAATACTTCGGATTTTGGAGAACACTTTGAAGTGTTAAAAGTGGAGAGAATTGTCCTCAAAAAGAATAGGTTTAATGCTAGACCAGTACGGAGAACGACTAGCACGTTGCTCGACTGGAAAGGTAAGCTTGAGTTTCAATATGTTTGTCCCTCAAATTACAACAATACAATGCTACAAAGAAAACTTATTAGGATAATAAGATGTAATGAGACTTTTTAAAATAATTATAGCCTCCTAAATGTGTCAAAACGAAAGACTGCAACTGAGTTTGATGACAAAGCATATTTTTTGTATCATCCGCAACTTACCTGTGGTGGCGGTGGATCTTTATACTCAATAGTTGGAATCTCCTCGCCCTTGGCTAGCTTTTTTTCTTCTATAGCTTTCTTCAGCTTGGGTTTTACAACTAGACTAACTAGTGAGTCGTTTCCAATTTGGTCATTATCCATAGTTAGAAGTGGAAGGCCATTCATTGCGAAGAGGCTGTTCTGTGATAAATGCGAAATGTTAGTGAAGAATTTGGAGACGAATTCTGTATAATAATCTAGGATTTCTCTAACATTATAGCCAATGAATGTTTATGCTATAGTTTTTTTACAATGAATAGCTTTTATCGTCATGACACTCTATATTACAGAAAAAGAAATCTTGTTTTTGAGACGTAAACAGTTTGTTTTCGAGACGCGTCCGAAGAGTACTAGGATCCTATCAGTAAGAACGAAAAAGAAATTTTGTACAATCTTGTACGCCGCACTTTTCAGTTTCGCCGCTAATATTCAAAACAAAGTACAAATCCCTTACGAAATTATCAGGCGAGCATGTAAAAACCTGTGGTCTCGGACGGACTAATATTTCTAACTAGTGCAAGTAGTTAATTCATAAACTACAATGATAAAACGTATTGCGCTGAAATACTAAGCAAAATGTCTGACTGAGCACTCACCATTGGAGAACTTGCACAGGCTCCTTCTGGGAAGTATAAATCATTCAAATCGTGATGCGACATGGCCATCGTTTGTGTTGTTTTTCTGTACTAAAAATCCCACTGCAATTGCTCTTTTCTGCTGTATATCTAAAAGAAATGTCGTTTGAATGGAGGGAATACACGGGGTAATTTTCGGCCAAGGGAAAACCCCGTACTAGTTAGCCCTCGTGGACAACGCTGGCCGTCTTGTTGAATAACCATAGAATACTGCTAATACACATTCGAGTCTTATATAATAAACAATACCAATCGTCACAGCTAAAAATAGGAGTTCACGAAATCTCTTTTTGATTGGTTCTCAAAACGTCGATTCTGGGAAAAGCTCCTAGTTTGCGCATGTCAAGTATAGTTGTTATGCCCCGATTGATGTCACGCTAAGTTTAGTTCCGGTCTTCTGAATAGCCTTCAAGGAATGTTCAAAAATAACATTGAATCGATTGAGAAATAAAGACTTCTAAATACAGAATATGATCCCAAGAGAAGATATACTTTAAAACATTTGTTTTAATGCCTGTAAAAAAGTTTTTGTAGATTCCGACTTCTCACGAAGCTCTTCGGTTGTTGTCGGCATGTTTTGACAACTCCGGAAACTGTTCGGATCTATTTGCTTGCCGGTCGGAAGTCAAATCATTTACAGAATTTTTCGCTATAAATCTGATTTTTTTTGGGATTCTAAAACAGTTGATACTCTTGAATTAAATTTCTATGTAGAGTTTATTGTTTTTATTAAAGCGAAAGATTTGCAGCCCACTGAATGTAATATTGCGTGGGTGGATCCAAATAATTGCATCTTCGTTCCGTCACGTACGTCACGTAACACGTCACGTCACTCCCTTTTTCGCAGAATCAGCTTTTGGTGTGGTCCAAACAGTCCAAAAATAACGAATCTAGGGTTTCCAAGTAACTCCAAAACAATACAGTATCTCAGAAAAGAATAATGAAGTTTAGTGCCAGAGATTACGAAATATTCTTCGAAATTTTCATCTCGATTCTCAAAACTATTTCAAGCTAAATATAAGCTTACAGCACTAGTGAAACGTTTCAGTATAAAATGCAACGCTTTGCAGTGTCGTCCAATATCTATAAGCTTCTGTGCCATGTCGCGCGGGAGAAAGGAGCTAAAATTTCACAATATCTTATGCGAAAATACAACTGAATTATGCTTGAACTTCGATTGAACTGAATAGCCATCCGAGTGTCTTGGAAAGTTTTATTTGGCCTTGTCTGACATTGACGTTTCGTCGGCATAAATCTGTGGGTAAAGCAGTATGCTACGAGCTGACGCATACCACTTCGCTTCATAATATCAAATATTATCATGAAAACTGCCTAATATCACTCATAATAGCTCGTACATAGAGAGACAACATTATGGGACTTGGGTCAGAATATATGAACTCGAAGTGAATTTTAATTCAGGCAAAAAAGATGTGACGATACATATGGGAACAAATGTCGAACAAATAAAAAACAGGAAAACAAGTATTGTTCGATCACACAACATTGCTGGGGAAATTTCTTAAAAAGTAGAAAAACATCTTCATACTCAGTCCAACATATTTTCAGCTATTGAACAGGGGGTGGATCGATCTACCTCTTGAGTGTAAGACTCTCCCGACCATCCTTTAATACTTTCTCTTATTTTGTCTTGGTGATAAGTTTTGTGGGGTCACCCTCCTGAGAGCCATGCACCCCTCCCTGAAAAAGAACCTGGTCCCACCCCTGTGAAACATATGCAAGGGTAGGCGTGTCCAAATATAGTAAAATTGGTAGTCCATTAAATGTTTCATTGGAGTGGTAAAGGGGCGATCCATTAGAATTTTGGAGGATTTTGTCCGTGCAATTTTAGGACTTCAGACTCCCGCTTGAAATTTACTACATACAGATCGTGATATATCCAATCTCTACAAGTGTATGAAAAAATAAAGAAACTATAAGACACACAAATTTATTCCCCTCACCCCCACGGGAGGGGCTTGGGAGTTCTCTTTTCTCTCGCTTTTCAACCCTCATCTTTTCTCCCTTCCCTCTACAAGTTAATGATTGAAGTTACATTTCATCAGTTCATTACCGGGAAATAATCGCCCGCAAGGTCGGGTTGAATAATGTTGTTACAGGGCAATTTAAAGCCGACCGCACGCCGGTTACCGGACGTGCCGGTATTCTTGCAATTTTTCGGGTACATTAACCGTGCCGTTCTATTTATTGTCTAGCATATTTCACTACTGAAAGGCCACAAATTCAATATCGATAAGTCTTATCTAACTATCTCAACCCAGCTAAATATTTTGAATGTCTTTTATTTTAGAAATATGTTCATCTCTTTTCCAAAGATATTAAGAATAACGAATGATGTAGTCTTGCAAAGCAGCCTTAATACAAAGCTTCCTGCTTAGAGCATGATAAATTAAATATCTTACAATCATTAAATTATTTTCCTATAATGATTTTTTTGCACTATTATGAATAGATAAATATATAAATAATTTATAGTCTTGACGACATTATTAATTAGTTAGTACGCTCAAAGATAAAACTTGGAATCACTGTGACATTGTCATAGCTGATGTCTGTGGTCACACTCTTGGGATTCCTGAGCACCTATATGCTGGAATTCCTGTGTACACATAATTTGATGGTTGGATTTCCTGTGTATGTTAAACAAACTATCAGTGTTCTTGGATCCCTGTGTACACATAATTGGATGTTTGGGTTTCCTGTGTATGTTAAACAAATTGTCGAGTCTTCTAGGATCCCTGTGTAGGTTTAACTTGTAACGGTTCACTGTTAATTGTACTACCATGTTTGTCCCAGAGTTCCATTGCTTTGCTGGCAACAATCACACAGGCATTCTCAGGGCATGGCTGAAAGAACATTAAAATATTTCATATATATACTTTTTTTGTTCTTTTTTTTGTTCTTTTTTTTTTTTTTTGCTGTTTTCAGCATTTTGCATGTATTCATTCAAGAATTCTCCCATTTTTTCCTATAATGATTCATTTAATTCATTTATTCAATTCATCTTAGGCAAGTTGTTGAGTGGAAACAAGAAAACCTTGAAAAATTTTACAGTAGTTATTTTATGGTAATAAACTTTACAGAATTAAGTAAATTTCTCTGTTTTCTATTGTCTAATGTATACTATTCAGTTAGCATTTTTTATGTTATTTGCATTAGCAGTCTATAAAGTGTTAATATAGAGAGTTTAAGCATCACGTTAACGGCAAACGGCAGAGTTGAACCAATGACCTAAGAATTTCGTGCCTGACCTTGTGCTTTTGGTAGTCATTTGAAAGAGCGGCTTTTCACGATTATGGCAACCTCAAACTAACCCGCTCTCGAAACTGCAATGTTAAATTCCAAAAAAGCAGATCACATGATCTTTTCTGCCGTTTGCCGTTTGCTGTGAACGTCATGCTAAACCTCTCTAATAGCACTTAATAAACTGCAAAAAAACCTTTATTTGGTGAACAAAATTCATACAAAGTCTGTGGATTGGATAAGTTCTACCTTCATAAACTGGCCCCTTGTATGTTTTAGCTAAAAAAAGGTCAACTTTCACGTACCTTGTTAAAAACTTGTAGAAAAGCCTGTGATTCTTTGATGCTTAGTAACTGATGCCTGTATACAATAAGTAAAGCCACACCAACAATTCCTAATATCCTACTAGAGCCAGCAACAACTTTGTCCCATATCCTGCAAGAAATAAACAATGTTGCACTGAAAATGATGATAATGATGATAATAATGATGATGATATTGATGATGACAATGATGATGATAATGATGATGATGATGATAATGATGATAATAATGATGATGATATTGATGACGACAATGATAATAATAATAATAATGATGATGATGATGATGATAATGATGGTGATGATGATGATGATGATGATAATGATGATAATAATGATGATGACATTGATGACGACAATGATGATAATAATAATAATAATAATGATGATGATGATAATGATAACAATGAAATACTTATTTAGCGCAAATATCTGCAAGTTCATATGTGCTTTACAAATGAGAAGATTCCAAATTGAAATAAAACTTATGAAAAAATTAAAGTTGTAACATACATGTATTACTAAATGCAGAGACTTTGCAGCTTGAAGCATCTGATATGGTGGCCATGTTGAATGAAAAGACACTGACAAAATTACATGTAAATCAATACCTTTCCATGCAGGAATCAGGCAAATCTTCTGAAAAACTACTCTCAAACCACCTACAAGAAAACCAGATTCATTTTTTCAAATTGTATAAACATATGTTATTACAAGTATAAATTGTACAGAATGAAAGATAAATTTAGTGAAAACTAGTTTTGTTCAAAAACCTGTTTAGTTCAGTATGTTTTAGACTTGTAATTAGGGTACTTTACCTTAAACATATAATTATACAATTATGAAAAAGTCTTTTGAAGTCAAATTAATAGAACAATTTCAGAATTTTTCAAATACTGAAACAGGGATTGAACTTGCAATGCTAGATGTTCTAGGTGTAGCAATAGGTATCTATCACTGTCACAAGCTCAACTGCTGACTCACTTTCATGCAAAGGCTAAGTTACTTCTCAAGCTGGTACTAGGAACTGTAAAATTGAGCATAATGAGGTTTGTGCGACTATAACTTGGCTGCAAGCTCTCTTGAGATGCCCGTAGAGAGAGCAAAGACTTGTGGGTCTGTGGACATGCCCCCTTGGTATCTACGCAGGCTACTTTGACTATGTAAGATATGATATGAAGAGTACCTTTTATATGGGAGATGTTCAAAAGCATTAAGTGATTGAAGATGTCTCCATAGTGAGTTGTCTTCTGTTTGGATATAGTGTTCAATTATCTTTAGCTGTTTCAAAGAGCAAAAGGAATAAATATCATTACGTATTCCCCAACTTATTGTTAGATAAGATATTATTCTCCATGGCCAGCGTTTTGCTCTTTTGGCTCCCTGTGAGTGTGTGGGACTGGACATGGTGCCAAAGTCAAAAATGTGTGGAATTTCAGACATATTTTATATGCTCAACACATTTTGTTCAAATGCCTGAAAAATACTTTTGAATGACGAATGTTTAACAAGCATATTGTCTTTTTTCTTTGTGTATTCTTACCAATGTCTCCCATTGATTAATAAACTGTTTCTGTATTTGGACAAACTTAATTGAAAGCCAGTAGAGATCCACCTCATCTTCAAACATATCTGCAAAAACATTGACAACGGCATGTAGGATTCTGACTTGGGTTTTGAGTTCCTGCAATACAAATGTGAAAAGCGTTGAGCATAAATAACACTGAATACTACTCAATTCATTGTGTTAAATCTAATGTTGTTTTGTGCATATTGAAGCATATATTGAATGCAGTGTACTTTGTATTATTTTTTCAAAGCTAGCCTTTAATTTGTAAATTTTATTTGTAATTTTTATTTCTCGGCACTTAAATCTGAGCTGTATAAGCGCTTTATAAATTTTTATACAACTTTTCAGTAAAATCAGACGTTTTGATTGGTTGGTGTGTTATCAAAGTATAGATACACGGATTACGTCAAAACTAATTGTTTGTTGTATAAAACAGATAGATCTCATTTTTCCGTGTGTGTGTACTCTAATAGATACACAGATGACTTCAAAATGTAGCGAGAACAACAGTCACGCACTCGACTGCGTCTCGTGCATACTTTTTTGTTCTCACTACATTTTGACGTCATCTGTGTATCTATTAGAGGACACACGCACGGAAAAATGAGATCTATTTGTTAAACATTATTATTATTATTATTATTATCTATAATATTATTATTTGCATTTGCATCTAGGCTCAGTCTCCAGCCGTCGGGATTTCGTGCGCCCGCGATACTCTCTCCCCTGACGGCTGGGCGCATGGGGTTCGAAACGTGTCACGCATGTCAGTGACGTTTTTGTGTAATAAGCATATTATGACGTGACGGAAGTGAATTTTTTCAGTAAACGGAAGTGAAATATCTGACAACAGCCGTAAAGGTTTTGCTACAAGGCGGGAAATTATGTGAAATGAAAACTTCGCGAAGTAGCGATATAATGTAATAGTTAGCGCTTTAAAAAAGAGAAAGGAATGGAAATTACCCCAAGTAAAACATGTGCAGGGTTTAATAATCCACAAAATACACTAGTGGCGCCGTTTGAAAAATAAGAGATTTGCGCGAGGCAGTAGGAAGAATAACAAGGACATCTTTTTCAAGAACAATCTCTTTAAGAGCCTTTTGCTGTATTTCTCTAAATTCGTCCAAGCTAAACGACTTCAGAGCCTTCAAACAAGCACTTTCAAAGAGAATCTCAAACGACGAATTGTACGCCATTTTGTTACACTGCTGCCTGCTAATTTATTAATGATATGCCCCTGAAAATATCGGGGGCCACTCGCTGATTGGTCAAGACTGACAATAGCGAACCCCATGCGCCCAGCCGTCAGGGGAGAGAGTATCGCGGGCGCACGAAATCCCGACGGCTGGAGACTGAGCCTAATTTGCATCTTGAGGGGAAACTCTCAAACCAGAGGGGAAATCATAACCAAGTCAAATACAAATGACAGCTCATGGAAGAAAAAATGCAAAATCTGCATATTAACAAAATGTTCAAAACTATTCGGTGCACAATAATTAATTTCTAAAACTGCAAAACCTCAAGGGAAAAAGCAAGAAAACTGCAAACCACACCAAAAATAATTCAAAACTGCACAACCATAAACCTTACTAGTACCATTGTTTGCAATGCTGCCCAGACAAAATTTACAACAGCAGCAGTCTATTGCCATGCTAATTGCTATGGAGAAGGTCTATCTGGACAAGTTTACATAGTAGTGCAAAGAATGGTAATATTTTCCTCTTATATCTGCACTGTCAACCTTCCTCCCCTGCCATCACTGCCCTAAAACGTTATTTTTATGTGTTATTATTACCACCTTAGTACCTCAGAGACAGTATTCACGCGATATCCTCCTTCTTGCATCAGGTACATCTTCGTAATAAGCTCACCCAAGTCTGCATTCTGAGAATCTATCTGGTTGATAACTATTAAAGCTTTTTTGAGATCGTGGAACTGTTCTGTTCTTTGTTGTGTCATGTAGCTATGAGCTGCTTGATATGGGGATAAGATACCTGGGAAGCAACATGGCAGAGCATGGTCAGGAGTCAAAAGTGAATTTACTGTACATGACAGGATTGTAACAATAATTGACATGTGGTACAAAAGAATGAAAACTAAATAAGGAAAAGAGAAAGAAGGAATGAAAGAACATTAGTAAAAGAAGAAGGCAGTGAAGACCTCAATGATGAAGACTAAAATATTATACAATAAAGAATTTCTGGAAACAACAATCTTTAGAGAGGGTAACGTTTATTTTTATGTTGAAGCTGATATGGACGAAATGTGTTTGAAAGACTAGGCCAAACGAACGTAAAAGACTAAATGAAAGAAGTATAAGCTTACCTAGTAATATTTTCCAAACGTGTGGCCTAAACACAGCTGGTAAACTGAATTTACAGCTGAATGTTGCCACTCGGTCAACATCTGAACAAGACAGAACATGTGAATAAGAAAGAACATGACACATTCTGACAATATTCCATATTGTCTTAGAATTTATCATTTTCTATAGAACCTCTATCAATATTTTGCTACCAATAAGCCTTCATATTACCTATTTCTTCATCTTTTAGTAATATCTCAAGCGCTTTCTTCTGTTCAACGTTCTTTAAGCCAAGAGTATCGTAGTAAAAAGAACGAAAATTTCGACCATCTCTGTCCGCCATTACTAATGGCGAAAACCGCCGATAGAAATCATTGCTGGCACGTTTTAAAATCTCGTTTCCAGGCCCTCAAAAAATCTTATTTCTCCGGTGGTTTCATCCAGATTTTTCATTAAAAAAATGAACGCTGAAGGGAATTTCATATAATCCGATGGGCAATTTGCTTTTAATAGAAGACCTCTAACTACAAAACTGCCGGATCCGGAAGATCCTAATCGACATAACAAATAAATGAAAGAGAGGAAAAAGAAACGTTTTTTTATTAAATCCCAGTAATCCCAATTACGTTTCCACTGACTGTGCGATGTGTCAGCTGTATAAATAACAGCGCACCAGTATTTATATTTCCCGCCACTGAAATAATACAATTTGTGTTAATATTTACTCAAGGTTGTGGTCTTTCTCAAGCTGACTTGGTAAACTTACCCATTGACAATAGTGCAATTGGACAAATTGGTTTGTAAGGTAAGCCTCCGGTATTTTACTGTTTTATTACTAAATAATGTAACAAAGAAAACGGGTTCAAAACTGGAATTGGAGGATTGAAACAATCTCATGCAGTCGAAGCAAAATGAAAACACTTATTCTGGCCGGACTTCTCTAGTGTACCCTATTACTGCGCGCGCCAAGTTAGGCACTATGATGGTGGTAGCATTCACTTGCTTTATACATGCAATCAACCCCTTCAACTGGCGCTCCATTTCTGGTGTTTCTTCGCGCTTTTCAAGAGCCCCCTTTACTAGATTTAGCTTGACAATCTTCCACTAGCCCGCAATCCCTAAGAGGAGTCTTTCTTGATGAAATTGCAAAATGCTCTCTGAACACTCTATAAGAACTATCTATGTTTACCTCCTTCAGGTATCAAGATGAAAACTATTTTACTTTTGATGCTTCTTGTCGCACTGAGTGTGAACGGAATGCCTATGCCAGGTAGGAGGAGGGGGTAGGAGGAGGGGGGGAGGAGGAAGGGAGGGGGGGTATTCAAACTTAAATATAAAAGAAAGTTGATTATTAGTAAATTACCACACAAACTGACTTTGTGTCCCTCGAACTCAATTTTCCTTACAATACCACATTGAATGCATTCATTTTATGGCCTGAAGGTAACTCTTCATCATGTTCATCACGCGTGTTAAGATCCTAGAGTGAGCGGTACAAATGTACAGACAAAATCTCTAAAACAAAACTACCACTCATTTAGTATACATCGAAGACTTTGAACGAGAGCCGATCATATAGCCACTTCGTAAAAAAAAAGTCGGTTCTTTGGAAAGTGAAACACAAGACATGACAATAATTATGCAAAAAACAATAAATAAATAAAAAAAAGATAAACAATAAATAAAATAGAAAGGAAAAAACAAAATCATTAAAGTGCATATATCGGTTCAGCAATTTTTCTTTCAAATGAAAGTTTGGACATTAAAAATCACATAATTAAAGAAAATTTTACGATACTATATAAATTTCATATATTTTTAAGCTTTCAAACTGCGGAATGAGCTGATAAAAGTCGAGCGTTATGGAGGCCTGGTACTAGTCCGTCCAGTGACGTCATTCACGGAACAAGCTTACGGTAAACAACACTAAACTTCACAGAACTGATCTTTAAAACGACTGATTTTTCTTGAAAAAAGACATGTCTGATTGCAGCAGTGAATGTAGAGACTCTTGTTACATTTCTGAGTAATTAAGTTGAATCTGAAACCCGATCAATGCGCAAAATGACCACTTTATCGAAGACGATTTTGAAGCATCCTGAAGCATATCGCGACATGAACGCTTTAAAGTACAGCGACGAACCGATTACAGATGAAGCGTGGCTGGCTGAGTATTAATATAAAAAGGTTTTATATGCGGACGGGCAAACTTCGCCAATTTTGTCGAGAAATGTAGTTACACGAACTTTTTCTKAGTATTTTAAACACAGTGTGTAAGATGCCCGGCAGCCGGTCACGGTGCTTAGAATAACTCTGTGCACGGCAGTCCAAAATTTCAGAAATTTCTTCAAATCACGGTCAAATGACTGTTTGTGTTGAAACCACACAWGGGAAAGTTTGTTTAGAAATACTAAGCGCTCCTTTTAAGCAGTCTTACTTTGTATAAAGCTCGCTGGTCTTTGCTGGGCATAGTATACAAAACACCTT